CTGGCTTATTGAGGGGCCCGGGGACATTTCATTCCATTTATCGCGCTCAAAATCATAAAATCACAGAGGTGGGATCATCGTCCTCTTCTCTCCCCATCTCCTCGTTTCGTCTTGCTCGGGGGGTTTTGTAGTCGGTCGGTCGGAAGCTGCGGGGGATCTGGAAAATGGGCTTTAAGTGGTTTGAACCTCAACAAATTCCCGACCTTCCGGTGAATTCCTTACTGTTTGTGTCGCTTCGGTCGGCGATGACTAATGCTTCCGGTGAAACTTTGGTCGAGTGATTAACGCGGAAAATAACTTACCTAATTAGCTCCCTGGATACTTTACACCTCCCACCTTACATCGGATCCGTCCTCGGATCCTAAATGCAGTCGTTGTTTTCTTGTTTCGATTCAGTTGTATGTTTTTATGAAAAATGTGTTGGTTTAAAAAAGTAAGAAAAAATGTTTTTATAAGTTAGTTAGGTCAAAGATTGACCAGTAGTGTCGATAAGACAGGTTAAAATTACCGGGACTGGAGTTGGTGGTCGTTGTCCGCAGTGGTGGAATATTTACTCGGGGTGTTCCAGCGAGCGTGTGTGAGCTTTACAAAAATCGTTGAGTTTGAAGTAAGGGGAAGAGAAAGGAGTGGAGATGGAATAGTAACTTACTAGATGAAATCTAGATGTCGGGCAAGCGTTCAATTTAATGTTCGCTAAAAAAATATAATAACTGAAATAATTAAGGGATTTACGCTGTGCTGTTTGGGAATAAGTTTTTACGAAAGAGACTGGCCTGTTGGTTTTACTGTAGAAGTTGCTGGCCCGGAAGATGAGGAATTCTCTGTGATTCCTGATGCTTCAATGCTGGGGTGGAGTCGAGCGAAATGAATCTGCCAAGGGTCCGGGGGCACTCGAGGGGGATCGGAATATATTGATCATTTATGTATGCCGTCCGTTCGTGTCGGGATTTGCGTAGAGCCTGAATTAAGGGAGTGAAAAACTTGTTTGTGAATTGGCCCAGTGTTCTAAAAAGATATGGGTAACTTGGATTCGGAATAGATGCGGAGAGCGTAACTTCGAGAATAAAATTCCCATTCGTAACTGCAATGCTAGGTTCGATAATTTTAATAAAATAGTAAATTGAAAAAAATTGAAATGATAATTTTGGACTTATCTTGGTTGCTGACCTGGGCTGCTCTGTTCCGTCGGCGAATAAATTTAGTTTCACGGCGCCCTAATGGATCTGGAAAACAAACGAGCGACTGGCATTCCATTGCTTTGTCACGGGCTGCCATCAGCATCGATGCACGTGATCGATCGAGGAAGCGATGGTGATTGAGGTGGGGATGAAGCACTCACTCTGGGTTTGGAGACAAGATGGAGCTTGGGACCTGATTGGTATGAGCTGGGGGAGCATGGATTACGAAAAAAAAATTGTTTTTAAGTTCTAGTAGTTGTCGGGGAAGTATTGTTGATTGGAATTTTGGTTATACGTTGAAAAAGCGTTCACTTGAGTTTGCGGATAAACATACTGGCCTGATGATGTGCCTTGCTGCTGCTGAAATTGTAGTGCTCCGCCATTTCCATTCAGTCGTTGCCTGTCCCTAATCTGATGCCAACAGTCTTCGGCTTGATGACCAAATTTGTTACAATAAGAGCAAGTGACCTGGTAGTTTCGTCCTTGGTATCCACGGCTACTGGAATATTGCTGCTGCGTCACCATCCCACCATTGAACTGCGCTGGATCATTTTGTCGAGCTGAATAATTGTTAGAGTCATGATAGTTCGACGAAAAATTCGTCATGGCTTGAACTGTCGGAGCAAGAGTATTGTCCGTAGGTAATAAGCTAGCCGCTGAAACATCGGAAAGTAGGATTTCTACCTGCTTTGCTCTATTTACTGCCTCCTCGAATGTCGCCGGGTTGTCTTGCAGCGTCCAAAATCGCGTTGTCGGTCTGAGCTTAGAAATAAATGCTTCTAAAAGGGTGGTTTTATATACTTCTTCATGCTGGGTTGCAGTAGCGATTCTTACCAATTTCATTAGGCGATTTGCGAAGGCCTCGGCTGACTCACCGATTTCTTGTCGTGTGGAGGAGACCTTTTGGCGGGCTAAAAAGCGTTGCTGCGGCGACTCAAATTGATCTCTCAAATAGCCGATCAATCGTTGATATGACGCTCGGACGTCTTGTGGGGCTTCTTCAACCTTTTCGCGGGCGAATCCGTCTAAGTGTACAATTAAAAACTTCACCTTTTGTGCGTCGGTCGTGTTTGCATCCGTCCTTGTTGCCATAACATCTTCAAATCGACGTAGCCATAGGGAAAACGATAACTGACTGTCGGATCCAGAAAATGAGGAAATGGTATTTCCTCGAACTTCCAGAGCCATAACCCGGGGGAGATATGGATTAAATGGTTTTTCGATCATAAAATGACCCAATGGGTTCGGAATGCTGACTTGCGTGGGGTCTGCCATTCCGTTGTCTTCATGTTGGCGTTGTGCAGCGCCATTCAGGGTGTTCTCCTGCTGGGTGGGGGTATGTAACTTTGACAATTGAATTGCCAATCTCGACTTCGGCAGGCCGGGTGGGCCTGTTCCGCTCGTCGCCATCCGGGGCTTATCCGTTTCGCGTCTAGAACAAAATTCATCTGGGAGCGACCCAGGCATCTCGAGAAAATAGAGGAATACATGCAGCAATTGTGCCTTTGTCACGTGACTAGTCCAAAAAGTACTTCGCGCCCGATACGCGGAAATTTTGCAAATGCTTACATCGCGTCTGATTCGCGGAACTCTCAGAAAATACTTCGCGCTTTTTCGCGGCTTTCAAGATAAAGGTCGACCTTACAAAAAATCTTTAACTTCGAGAATAGAATTCTCATTTCTTTGCCACTTTAGGATCATGTGGCCACAATGATCCTACTGTCAGAACAGAAAAATAGCAAAAGAAATGTGAACAAGATGCAACCGAAATAAGGCGCATAAAAATGAGCTCAAAGTTTAAAGTGGAGGTGGGGATGGGACGGAATTCGCTGCTACCAGTAAAGTGCGTGCTTCGGGGTTTTTGCGTGCTGGCTTATTGAGGGGCCCGGGGACATTTCATTCCATTTATCGCGCTCAAAATCATAAAATCACAGAGGTGGGATCATCGTCCTCTTCTCTCCCCATCTCCTCGTTTCGTCTTGCTCGGGGGTTTTGTAGTCGGTCGGTCGGAAGCTGCGGGGATCTGGAAAATGGGCTTTAAGTGGTTTGAACCTCAACAAATTCCCGACCTTCCGGTGAATTCCTTACTGTTTGTGTCGCTTCGGTCGGCGATGACTAATGCTTCCGGTGAAACTTTGGTCGAGTGATTAACGCGGAAAA